AATTTCCCTAAAATTATTTTCTTTCTTTTGGCGACTTCACACACCATTGCGCATACTTCAGTCTCACTGAAATTTGGTCGTTTCTTCAGGTGGTTGTCCTTCCATCTTTTGCTTACAAACTAATATCACGTGCATCGCTCTCAGCTGGTTTCTCCTTCTCTTGTGATTGGTTGATGATTTTGTTAACTGAGCGCTGATTGGCCAACTAGCTCCTGCACTGTCATCTACCTTCCGACAAGAGAACTGAATTTACATGGTAAACACCAGAGTTATGATAACTTACGGACTGCTTAAGGAACTGTAAATAAATTTAGGGTATGCTAAATTTACGGGACTGTGAGGAGTCTGCAATATATGGTACTGTATCTCGCTAATATACGTAACTTACGAGGTGTTTTGAGTATCCGGCCCCTGAACCTCACGGCCAGGACCTCTCATAGCTGTACGATACTTTCTCAATGTAACGGCAGCGTACGTCCAGTCTATTTCTCGAACATGTTGACTACCTGACGTATGAACAATATATTAACAGGTATTCCTTGATTATCTAGAATCGTATAAGACAGTTTTATCTAAAGCCTTGACAACGTGTGTTCAGCCCACTAGTATAACAACTCCACAACCAGCCGTACAATCAAATATAATGTATTAGTGTATGATTAATCACCGACTCGCGCGGACCTGTACGATAGTTTCAGCTGCGGGGGGAGGGGGGGGGGGGCTGGCAGCGTGCACCCCTCTTAACCACTAACCTAACTCAACCTAACCTAAGCTAACCACTCGCCTGTAATTAAGAGAAAATGACTCATATCATCGTTTTATACTTTCTGATATATTTACAAAGTTCCTGAAAATCCCCGTCAGATATTTCAAACAGGCATATGGACGGACGGACTGGGAGACAGAGAGACAGACAGAGACGCCGTGGGTGTACTAATGACATTGATTGTTATGGACAGGTTATAGACGCTGAGACTTGATATAATATGATGGTTGTAGTAGTAGTAGAGGGTGATAACCCCAGCAGAAAGATCACTTCTTGCACTTCCATCAAGACTGGGAGGGATGGGACTAATCAATCCAGAGGAGATTGCAGCCACCGAACATCAAAATTCACTTAAGCTCACGGCAGCCCTCACGGACCACATAATAGCCCAGAACGCAACAGGGGAGGTAGATACCAGTGAAGTAAACAAGATTTGTAGGTCCATTACGACAGAACGACAGCTCTGCCAAAAATAAAGTTGCAGCAACTGTTGCTGCAGGTACCAGAAAATTTGAAAAAAAAAGTAGCTATAGTGCAGGAGGTGGGCGCCTCGAACTGGTTAACTACGTTACCGATAGGGGCAAATGGTTTCAGTCTCAATAAACAAGAATTTACAGATGCCATTGCTCTAAGGTACGGTCGGCCAGTAAAAGGTTTGCCCTCCCAATGTGTGTGTGGCTCTTCCTATGACGTTGATCACGCCATGGTGTGCAAGAAAGGGGGCTTCATATGCATGAGGCATGACGAAGTAAGGGACCTCACAGCAAATATGCTGAAGGAAATCTGCCGGGATGTCATGGTAGAACCGACCCTCCTTCCTTTGGATGGTGAGATCTTCCAACATAGGACTTCAAACACATCTAATGAAGTCCGTGTTGACGTCAGTGCTCGAGGATTCTGGACGTGGGGACAGCGAGCTTTCTTCGACATCAGGATTTTTGATCCCATGGCCGCATGTCACCGTAACCTAGCTCTCGATGCTGCACACAGGAGGAACGAGAACGACAAGATAAGGGCATATGGGGAGAGAATTCAAAACGTTGATCAAGGCAGCTTCACTCCTCTAGTGTTCACAACCTCTGGTGGGATGGGACCAAGTGCAAGATGTTTCTACGCCAGACTCGCGGAGTTGATCTCCGAACAGAAGCAGCAGCCCAGAACTTATGTTACAGCCTGGATGAGATGTCGACTGTCTTTCTCTCTCCTTCGGTCGGCTTTGCTCTGCCTCAGGGGAACGAGAGCTTCTGCCCCAATGCCGACAGCTGCTGCAGATATTGACTATGAGGCTACAGTCACTGAATAGATCTGTTGCTCAACTAATTCAACACAGATAGGATAGCTACTTATGTATAAGGATATTTAATATTAAGGTAATAAAATGGCGGCGAAGGTGTGGCTATTGGGAGAGGCTGGAGGCCACGTTAAAAAAAAAGGAGGTTGTAGTAGTAGTAGTAGTAGTAGTAGAGGTTGTAGTAGTACTAGAGGTTGTAGTAGTAGTAGAGGTTGTGGTAGTAGTAGAGGTTGTAGTAGAAGTAGAGATTGTGGTAGAAGCAAATCAACAACTTCAACAACTCTACAAGCAAGATCTAAAGTAGTGACGAGTTATAACTACAAAACTATGTCACTATGTCACAACAACACCTCAGACCAGTATAACAACAACAACAGTCACTACAACACCATCCAGAGTTTATGGCGTCTGGGACTATTGTTGTAGCGCAGGGGTGGGTGTGTGAGTGGGGAGATGACCTGTAGGGCCTTGTAGTGTTGTTGTGACGGGAGTGTGGGTGTGGGAGGGGGTGTGGTGGTGGGTGGCATGGTGTGGGTGGGGGGTTGACCTTAACATTAATACCTTTACATTTAACCTTATTATCATCCATTATACATCAATGTCACCTGTGGTGTTGATTTTTTTACCTTAATTAAAATACCTGAATTCCTTGATGGTATTTTAGTATTAGAAGATCACAAGTTGAAGTAAATACACTCTAGTTTTTCTCATTCATTTAGTTAACAATTTTTTTTAATATGAATTTTTAACCAGGACTCGAACCCACGATCTTCTGTGTGTGACCGGGAAGCGTTACCTCTAGACCACTAGGACACTAAAAGCAATTCTAGACTTGTTCTATTTCACACAAGGCCTGTTCATCTAGCTTATGGTGCTGATAACCACAAGGAAAGAAGAAAACACTTCGTGCTTTCTTCTTTCCTTGTGGTTATCAGCATATACCTAGATCACGCGCACCTACAGTGATTTACTTGCATATATATATATATATATATATATATATATATATATATATATATATATATATATATATATATATATATATATATATATATATTTATATGGGGGGTGATTCTTTTTGAGAGAATTTGAACCGTTTTGGTGTTTATTTCAATCCTATTTTCCCCCTTGATGTAAGAGTTTAGATTCTTCAGGGTTACCTAGATACATTCACTTAGTACCATTATCTAGATACGTTTACTTAGTACTTTACCTAGATACGTTCACTTAGCCCCTTACCTAGATACGTTCACTTAGCACCTTACCTAGATACGTTCACTTAGCCCTTTACCGGGACTCGTTCACTCAGCACTATATAAATCACGGTGACAAAATTACTCGGGAACTTTCCATCTCAGCTGAAACACCTTCTCTTAACACCTCATTAGTTGACAAACTTATCCTACATAATCATTTAGTGACTCCATCGACTATACTGTAGTGTTAGAAAGTTTTTGGGTAGTGAGGTGCGGTCTACAAATGCTACGGACCCGAGTGTGTTTGGGCAGGTTCTGTGTGTGGAGAGCAGGACAGGGCGGAAATGGTTTTCCAGTGACGTTTTCACTGGTCTCTATTTAGATTTCAGTCCCTGTGATAATGTTGTGAATCGTTAAGTAGAAACCAATCGGAGGAGGTTTTTCGGTTTATTTTTTTTTTTACGAAAGGTTTAAGTTTTTTTTTTAGTGTGTGTGTGTGTGGGTGGGTGTTGTTTTATGATGATGATGGGCTTAAGGTGGAGGTTTTACAGTGAGTGGAATTTTGTGTGCGGTGAGCGAACGTTTTAGAAACAAGGCGCGGCTGTAGCAGTGAAAGTTGGTGGATGAAAGTGAGGGTGAGGCTTGGAGAAGATATGGGATGGGTGGGGAGGGGTTGGGGCGGGCGGGGAGGGTTGGGGGCGGGGAGGGGTTGGGAGGGACGGGAGGGATTGGGAGGGTCAAGGAAGGACGCTGGAGGAGTAACGGAGGGGTGCTAAAGGAGTGACGAGGTTTTTGGAGACTTGGTGAGAGTTTTGGGGGGAGAGTCGGGGATTAGTGGAGGAGTGACGATTGAAGGTAATTGGAGGAGTAGCTTGAAGGAGAGAAGGAAAGAAATAGATGGAGTGACAATAGGGAGGAGGAGGAGGAGGAGAAGGGGTAGGTCCTCAGCTCACACAGCCTCAGCATGTTAATTAAGGTGTGTCTACCTGGTGAGTGGTAGAAAGCGAGAACACCTCCCAGCCCGGGCCGTAGATGACCACCTGCAGCCTCAGGGGGTAAGCGGAGGCCGTTCAGCGGGGCCAACTCCACTTTTCGGTCATCAGGAACAAGTTGTCGATTTCTCCGTGTATGCTCCGCTGATTATAGCTCTGAGGGACGCACCAACATACTCCTCAGACTTAACCTACGAGTTTTTTATCACCAAAGTCAGGAAAAAGAATTGATGGTAAATGTTATGATTTTAATGAACCTGGTATTTATCAGTGGTCAGAGTCATAATTTAAACGAGTTGCATTAATATTAGTAAACAGACTCCTTATACAGACGAAGACGAGATAAAAAGGGTCCTTAAGGATCTATTTCTACTCCGCCAGGATACATGTCTTGTAGGGCACGACAGTACAGCCTCCAGAAACTGCCACTCTAACAGTTGACAGCCAGCTTGATTTCCTCATCAAGGTCGAAGCATTTAGGTGCGAAGTAACGGGACAGCTGTTGATGTATGGCGCTTGTGTTGTTGCGGCCAGCTGTCAAGGTTATAACTGAGGGAGGCCTACAGGAGGGAGGAAGGGAGGGAGAACTCTATGGGGGGTGGGGAGGGGAGGACTCAAAGAGAGGGAAGGTGCATGTATGAGAGACGGAGGGAGAGAGAGAGAGACGAAGGCAAAGAGAGAGAGAGAGAGGGAGTTGAGTTGCCTCTCTCTCTCTGGCCCACCGAAGGTTGGTGGCGGGTGGCCTGGCCCCGCCCGGCAGTCAGTCAGTCCCTTGGTGCCTTAGTGATCACACGCACCCAGTCCTAGCTGGATACCGGTGAGTTGGGGCCCCGGGTATGTCCTGGGTCCCTGTAGTGGGTACCAGAGGTTCACACCCTCCAAGTACCGATGTTCTCTTTTCACTCATATTGACAATTTCACCTTTGTGGTCAGCCTCACGCTAACAAGTGTTTGGAGAAAGTGGTCAAGTTCTTCGCTGCCTGGCTCATGACGGCGCAAATATTTCTCCTAACATTTATGAATGTTTAGACTGGTATTTGGTGATAATATACGATTCATATTTTGATGTTTCTGATAAACTGTCGGTATGTTTGCATCAGTCCCCCGCAGCCTTGACAGAAACCAGCCTTTCATTTTGTGACCACAAGACACCAACGCCACGTATTGTATACTGAAAACAAGACCCGTTCAATATTATTTATGTGTGTTTATGTGAAATGTGTAGTGTTGGTAGTGTTGGTAGTGTTGGCAGTGTTGGTAGTGTTGGTAGTGTTGGTAGTGTTGGCAGTGTTGGTAGTGTTGGTAGTGTTTACGTGGAGCAGAATTAAGTCTCAATCTGATGTGTTGTGGGAGTGAGTGAGGGATTACCACAGGTCCCCGAAGGAGTCAAGTGACAGGCCAACACCACAGGTCTGGCCAGTCAACTGCAAGTCCTATCGGATCAATATGGCGGTCAATTTAAAGCAAAGGAAATGAATATACTAACTTCTGATGCTTTATTTGTGCAGGATTTTGTGTAAACTTTTAGTCTTGTGAATTATTTAATCTTAAAGGCCTTACTACGCACACACACACACACACATACATACATACACACAAACACTCACACACACACACACACACACAAACACACACACACACACACACACATACATACACACAAACACATACACACACACACACGGTTCAGGGAGGGACTTCAACGCACTAACAAGAAGTAATCTAAGAATATATCACCTCCCCCCAACACTCCACCCGGCACAGATAATCAACCCACGACCTACACACTAACCCCGGCCACCAGCTCTTCCGTCTACTACATAAAAGCCATAAAATGTCAACAACTTTCATAGGAGAGGTGATCGGCGGCGGCCCTTAAATAGCAGCACAGGACCTCCTCTCATCTTGGGGTCTAGAGAATGTGCCTCCAGGTGAACCAGTTCCCTCAATAACTCGGCCCACGACGTAGATACTGAGGAGGGAGGGGGGGGGCGAAGGGGGGGTGGAGGTAGGAGTATTGTGCTGCACCGCCTTCTTCAGAGTGCATATGAGGGCGTTCCACGAGGCCGCTCACCCTCACGATCACACACACACACACACACACACGCACACACACACGTATAGTTGTGTGGTCTCATTCGCATGGGTTCTAAATGGGCGTCAATGGCCTTCTTCCGTCATTATTTTGTTACTGCGTGGTTGTGGGGTGTAATGTAGGTGTTGAGGGTGTAGTTCAGGTGTGTAGTGGTGGTGTAGAGGAGAGGGAGGTGTTGTGGTGGTGTAGAGGAGAGGGAGGTGTTGTGGTGGTGTAGAGGAGAGGGTGTAGCTAAGGTGTGTTGTGGTGGTGTAGAGAGAGGTGTAGCCAAGGTGTGTTGTGGTGGTGTAGAGGAGAGGGAGAAAGTTGTGGTGGTGTAGAGGAGAGGGTGTAGCTAAGGGGTGTGTTGTGGTGGTGTAGAGGAGAGGGAGGTTAGGGTGGTGTAGAGGAGAGGAGGTAAGTTGTGGTGGTGTAGAGGAGAGGGAGGCAAGCCAGGTGTGTGGAGAGAGGGTGTAGCTAAGGGGTGTGTCGTGGTGGTGTAGAGGAGAGGAGGTGCTGCAGGTAGAGGAGAGGGAGGTGTTGTGGTGGTGTAGAGGAGAGGGAGGTGTTGTGGGTGTGGAGAGGAGGCAAGTGTGTGAGGAGGGAGGTTGTGGTGGTGTAGAGGAGAGGGAGGTGTTGTGGTGGTGTAGAGGAGAGGGAGGTGTTGTGGTGGTGTAGGAGGAGAGGGAGGTGCTGTGGTGGTGTAGAGGAGAGGGAGGTGTTGTGGTGGTAGAGGAGAGGGTGAAGCTAAGGTGTGTTGTGGTGGTGTAGAGGAGAGGGAGGTGTTGTGGTGGTGTAGAGGAGAGGGTGTAGCTAAGGTGTGTCGTGGTGGTGTAGAGGAGAGGGAGGGTGCTGTGGTGGTGTAGAGGAGAGGGAGGTGTTGTGGTGGTGTAGAGGAGAGGGTGTGGCTAAGGTGTTGTGGTGGTGTAGAGAGGAGAGGGAGGTGTTGTGGTGGTGTAGAGGAGAGGGAGGTGTTGTGGTGGTGTAGAGGAGAGGGTGTAGCTAAGGTGTGGTGGCGACAGGTGTAAGTTAACCCAACAATTACAGGTGTAGTCACAGCAGGTGTAAACTAACCTCCTGAGTACATCTGGTTTGCTCTCGTGTACTGAAGCGAAAGCAAACAGTCTGCCTTTGTTCCCTCCACAACTACTGAGTTTACGGTGGAGGGTATACACACCCCTCCACTGGTCCTATACGTTTAGTGGAGGGAGGTGGAGTGTGGAGGGAGGTGGGAGGTGGAGGGAGGTGGAGGAGGGAGGTGGAGGTGGAGGGAGGTGGTGGAGGTGGAGGGAGGAGTGTGGAGGGAGGTGGAGTGGAGGGGAGGAGCAAGTGGGGGGAGGTGGAGGTGGAGGGAGGTGGAGTGTGGAGGGAGGTGGAGGTGGAGGGAGGTGAGGTGGAGGGAGGTGGAGGTGTGGAAGGAGGTGGAGGTGGAGGAGGTGGAGGTGGAGGAGGTGGGAGCGTGAGGGAGGTGGAGTATGGAGGGAGGTGGAGGGAGGGAGGTGGAGTGGAGGGAGGTGGGAGTGTGGAGGAGGTGGAGTGTGGAGGGAGGTGGAGTATGGGGAGGTGGAGGGAGGGAGTGTGGAGGAGGTGGAGTGGAGGGAGGTGGAGTGTGTGGAGTGGGAAGCTAGAAAATATGAGAAAGCTTGATCGTCCACACCTGGCCCTCCGTCACTGCCTCGTTAACTCCCTCGTTATTGTGTTCTCCAAGTTCACTGTTCTTACTGTTAAATTGTTCTCGCTGCTGTTCTCCAAGTTCACTGTTCTTACTGTTAAATTGTTCTCGCTGCTGTTAACTGTTCTCCAAGTTCACTGTTCTTACTGTTAAATTGTTCTCGCTGCTGTTAACTGTTCTCCAAGTTCACTGTTCTTACTGTTAAATTGTTCTCGCTGCTGTTAACTGTTCTCCAAGTTCACTGTTCTTACTGTTAAATTGTTCTCGCTGCTGTTAACTGTTCTCCAAGTTCACTGTTCTTACTGTTAAATTGTTCTCGCTGCTGTTAACTGTTCTCCAAGTTCACTGTTCTTATTGTTAAATGTTCTCCAAGTTAACTGTTCTTAACTGTTCTCCTAGTTCCCTGTTCACCGGTCATTGAGTTCACTGTTCACCGAGTTCACTGTTCATAAACTTGTTCTTCTTCCTGTTCAACCTGTAACATGTTCTTACCTTTTAAGGTTTGGTCTCTGTTTATTAAAAAACACACACAAACACACACACACACACACAAACACACACCACACACACACACACACACACACACCACACACACACACACACACACACACACACACACACACACACATACCACACACACACACACACACACACACACACACATACCACACACACACACACACACACACACACACACATACCACACACACACACACACACACACACACACACACACACACACACACACACACACACACACACACACACACACAATAATACACACACACACATACATACACGTCTAGCTGAACAAAAAACTTTCTATTCAGTCAATTTTATTTGTATAGGAGTTAACTATGCGTAGTACGGACCCTGCCTTTAAATCACCTTGTTTACTTTATCATCTTACTTAATTATCTTATTTTATTATCTTACTTTATTATCTTACTTTATTATCTTACTTTATTAACTTACTTTATTATCTTACTTTATTATCTTATTTTATTATCTTATTTTATTTTCTTACTTTATTATCTTACTTTATTATCTTACTTTATTATCTTACTTTATTATCTTACTTTATTAACTTACTTTATTAACTTACTTTATTATCTTATTTTATTATCTTATTTTATTAACTTACTTTATTAACTTACTTTATTATCTTACTTTATTAACTTACTTTATTATCTTATTTTATTATCTTACTTTATTATCTTACTTTATTAACTTACTTTATTATCTTATTTTATTATCTTACTTTATTAACTTATTGCCTTATTATTGTGACAGATCGACAGCCAGACAGACAGACATGTAGAAAGACAGACAGACACAATCAGATATGCTTCCGAGGACTCCACAAAGGCCAGACGAGGGTAAAAACATAAGAAAAAATAAATCAAGGTTTTTGTAGAAAATTAATATAGTGTCCCCTGTTACCTTGCCAGTGTTGCCAATGATAGCCTGTTACCTTGTCACAGTGTTGCCAATGGTACCTTGAGAGACATGCCCTTTCAGCTTACCTTGTTACCCTGCCAGTGTGTGTGTGTGTGTGTGTGTGTGTGTGTGTGGGTGGGTGAGGGAGTCTGTGGGGGTGAGGGAGTGTGTGTGGGTGAGGGAGTATGTGTGGGTAAGGGAGTGGGCAGGGAGGGGTCAGGACCTGTTCTCATCCTCCTTGACATACACCCACAACATTGGACTAAGTTTACGGGATTCACCACTCCTCTCACCTCTACTCTCACTTCTACTCTCTCTCACTCTCCCTCACCTCTACTCTCTCTCACTCTCCCTCACCTCTACTCTCTCTCACTCTCCCTTTCCCTCATCCCTCAGTCTCCACTTTTCCTCTCCTAATATATTGTGTCGCAAAATCATAGATGAAAGTGGAAAACAGATAGAGTTCAACACCTTATACACAGAATCAAGTCCTATTTAAAGGGGTTCAACACCTTATACACAGAATCAAGTCCTATTTAAAGGGGTTCAACACCTTACACACGGAATCA